GTGTGGATGGAGGGGTGGACAGGCAGTGTGGATGAAGGAGTGGACAGGCAGTGTGGATGGAGGGGTGGACAGGCAGTGTGGATGAAGGAGTGGACAGGCAGTGTGGATGGAGGGGTGGGCAGGCAGTGTGGATGGAGGGGTGGACAGGCAGTGTGGATGGAGGGGTGGACAGGCAGTGTGGATGAAGGAGTGGACAGGCAGTGTGGATGGAGGGGTGGACAGGCAGTGTGGATGGAGGGGTGGACAGGCAGTGTGGATGGAGGGGTGGGCAGGCAGTGTGGATGGAGGGGTGGACAGGCAGTGTGGATGGAGGGGTGGACAGGCAGTGTGGATGGAGGGGTGGACAGGCAGTGTGGATGGAGGGGTGGACAGGCAGTGTGGATGGAGGGGTGGACAGGCAGTGTGGATGGAGGGGTGGACAGGCAGTGTGGATGGAGGGGTGGGCAGGCAGTGTGGATGGAGGGGTGGACAGGCAGTGTGAATGGAGGGGTGGACAGGCAGTGTGGATGGAGGGGTGGACAGGCAGTGTGGATGGAGGGGTGGACAGGCAGTGTGGATGGAGGGGTGGACAGGCAGTGTGGATGGAGGGGTGGACAGGCAGTGTGGATGGAGGGGTGGACAGGCAGTGTGGATGGAGGGGTGGGCAGGCAGTATGGATGGAGGGGTGGACAGGCAGTGTGGATGGAGGGGTGGACAGGCAGTGTGGATGGCGGGGTGGGCAGGCAGTGTGGATGGAGGGGTGGACAGGCAGTGTGGATGGAGGGGTGGACAGGCAGTGTGGATGGAGGGGTGGACAGGCAGTGTGGATGGAGGGGTGGACAGGCAGTGTGGATGGAGGGGTGGACAGGCAGTGTGGATGGAGGGGTGGACAGGCAGTGTGGATGGAGGGGTGGACAGGCAGTGTGGATGGAGGGGTGGACAGGCAGTGTGGATGGAGGGGTGGGCAGGCAGTATGGATGGAGGGGTGGGCAGGCAGTGTAGATGGAGGGGTGGGCAGGCAGTGTGGATAAAGGAGTGGACAGGCAGTGTGGATGAAGGAGTGGACAGGCAGTGTGGATAAAGGAGTGGATAGGCAGTGTGGATGAAGGAGTGGACAGGCAGTGTGGATAAAGGAGTGGATAGGCAGTGTGGATGAAGGAGTGGACAGGCAGTGTGGATAAAGGAGTGGATAGGCAGTGTGGATGGAAGAATATACAGGCAGTGTGGAGGACCTGGGTGAACGCTATTTATATATACTTCTTAGAAACCTGTGAGTGAATCTCCACTGTGTGTGTGTGTGTGTGTGTGTGTGTGTGTGTGTGTGTGTGTGTGTGTGTGTGTGTGTGTGTGTGTTGTGCACTCACCTACCTAGTTGTACTCACCTTGTTGAGGTTGCAGGGGTCGAGTCCAAGCTCCTGGCCCCGCCTCTTCACTGGTCGCTACTAGGTCACTCTCCCTGAACCGTGAGCTTTATCATACCTCTGCTTAAAGCTATGTATGGATTCTGCCTCCACTACATCGCTTCCCAAACTATTCCACTTACTGACTACTCTGTGGCTGAAGAAATACTTCCTAACATCCCTGTGATTCATCTGTGTCTTCAGCTTCCAACTGTGTCCCCTTGTTACTGTGTCCAGTCTCTGGAACATCCTGTGTTTGTCCACCTTGTCAATTCCTCTTAGTATTCTGTATGTCGTTATCATGTCCCCCCTATCTCTCCTGTCCTCCAGTGTCGTCAGGTTGATTTCCCTTAACCTCTCCTCGTAGGACATACCTCTTAGCTCTGGGACTAGTCTTGTTGCAAACCTTTGCACTTTCTCTAGTTTCTTTACGTGCTTGGCTAAGCGTGGGTTCCAAACTGGTGCCGCATACTCCAATATGGGCCTAACGTACAAGGTGTACAGGGTCCTGAACGATTCCTTATTAAGATGTCGGAATGCTGTCCTGAGGTTTGCTAGGCGCCCATATGCTGCAGCAGTTATTTGGTTGATGTGCGCTTCAGGAGATGTGCCTGGTGTTATACTCACCCCAAGATCTTTTTCATTGAGCGAGGATTGTAGTCTCTGGCCCCCTAGACTGTACTCCGTCTGCGATCTTCTTTGCCCTTCCCCAATCTTCATGACTTTGCACTTGGTGGGGTTGAACTCCAGAAGCCAATTGCTGGACCAGGTCTGCAGGCTGTCCAGATCCCTTTGCAGTTCTGCCTGGTTTTCGATCGAATGAATTCTTCTCATCAGCTTCACATCATCTGCAAACAGGGACACTTCGAAGTCTATTCCTTCCGTCATGTCGTTCACAAATACCAGAAATAGCACTGGTCCTAGGACTGACCCCTGCGGGACCCCGCTGGTCACAGGTGCCCACTCTGACACCTCGCCACGTACCATGACTCGCTGCTGTCTTCCTGACAAGTATTCCCTGATCCATTGTAGTGCCTTCCCTGTTATCCCTGCTTGGTCCTCCAGTTTTTGCACTAATCTCTTGTGTGGAACTGTGTCAAACGCCTTCTTACAGTCCAGGTAAATACAATGTGTGTGTGTGTGTGTGTGTGTGTGTGCGTGTGTGTGTGTGTGTGTGTGTGTGTGTGTGTGTGTGTGTGTGTGTGTGTGTGTGTGTGTGTGTGTGTGTGTGTGTGTGAGTGAGTGAGTGATGTACACACAGACTGTACAATCACATCCTACCTGACCATAACACGTCTCAACCAGCCATCTTTCCATCCAAAAGGCACAGCACTTCGGGCGGTGCGACGTGGCTTTGCCCGGCTTTGAGAAGTTCTTCAGAGAGATGGCAAAGGTGCAGAGAGGACACTCAGAGACGCTAATGAACTATCAGAACCTGAGGGGCGGCAGTGTCAACTTGATGCAGGTGACGGCGCCCAGTAGAGCTGAGTGGGGCACTGGTGTCGAGGCTATGGAACACGCACTTGAGCTGGAGAAGAGTATTAACCAGGTGAGTCGGATGGGTACGCAGGGTGAATGTGGTGGGTACACTGGGTGAGTGTGGTGGGTACACCGGGTGGGTGTGGTGGGTACACAGGGTGAGTGTGGTGGGTACACCGGGTGAGTGTGGTGGGTACACCAGGTGAGTGTAGTGGGTACACCAGGTGAGTGTGGTGGGTACACCAGGTGAGTGTGGTGGGTACACCGGGTGAGCGCGGTAAGTACACCAGGTGTGTGTGGTGGGTACACCGGTTGAGTGGGGTGGGTACACCGGTTGAGTGTGGTGGGTACACCGGGTGAGTGTGATGGGTACACCAGGTGTGTGTGGTGGGTACACCGGGTGAGTGTGGTGGGTACACCGGGTGAGTGTGGTGGGTACACCAGGTGTGTGTGGTAGGTACACCGAGTGTGGTGGGTACACTGGGTGAGTGTGGGTACACCGGGTGAGTGTGGTGGGTACACCGGGTGAGTGTGGTGGGTACACCAGGTGTGTGTGGTGGGTACACCGAGTGAGTGTGGGGGGTACACTGGGTGAGTGTGGTGGGTACACCGGGTGAGTGTGGTGGGTACACCAGGTGTGTGTGGTGGGTACACCAGGTGTGTGTGGTGGGTACACCGAGTGAGTGTGGTGAGTACACCGGGTGAGTGTGGTATGTACACCAGGTGTGTGTGGTGGGTACACCGGGTGAGTGTGGTGGGTACACCGGGTGTGTGTGGTGGGTACACCAGGTGTGTGTGGTGGGTACACCAGGTGTGTTTGGTGGGTACACCGGGTGAGTGTGGTGGGTACACCAGGTGTGTGTGGTGGGTACACCGGGTGAGGTGGGTGGGTACACCAGGGTGTGTGTGGTGGGTACACCGGGTGAGTGTGGTTGGGTACACCGGGGTGAGTGTGGTGGGTACACCAGGTGTGTTGGGTGGGTACACCGGGTGAGTGTGGTGGTACCCCCGGGTGAGTGTTGTGGGGTACACCAGGTGTGCGTGGTGGGTACACCGGGTGAGTGTGGTGGGTACAAACCGGGTGTGGGGGTGGTGGGTACACCGGGTGAGTGTGGTGGGTACACCGGTGTGTGTGGGGGGTACACCGGGTGATGTGGGGGTACACCGGGGTGTGTGGGTGGGTACACCGGGTGAGTGTGGTGGGTAACACCCGGGGGTGTGTGGTGGGTACACCGGGTGAGTGTGGTGGTACACCGGGTTGTGTGTGGTGGGGACACCGGGTTAGTTTTGGTGGGTACACCAGGTGTGTGTGGTGGGTACACCGGGTGAGTGTGGTAGGTACACCGGGTGAGTGTGGTGGGTACACCAGGTGTGTGTGGTGGGTACACCGGGTGAGTGTGGTGGGTACACCGGGTGAGTGTGGTGGGTACACCGGGTGAGTGTGGTGGGTACACCAGGTGTGTGTGGTGGGTACACCGGGTGAGTGTGGTGGGTACACCGGGTGAGTGTGGTGGGTACACCGGGTGAGTGTGGTGGGTACACCAGGTGTGTGTGGTGGGTAACACCGGGTGAGTGTGGTGGTACACCGGTTTGTGTGGTGGGTACACCGGGTGAGTGTGGTGGGGTACACCGGGGAGTGTGGTGGGTACACCAGGTGTGTGTGGTGGGTACACCGGTGTGTGTGGTAGGGTACAACCGGGTGAGTGTGGTGGGTACACCAGGTGTGTGTGGTGGGTACACCGGGTGAGTGTGGTGGGTACACCGGGTGAGTGTGGTGGGTACACCGGGTGAGTGTGGTGGGTACACCGGGTGAGTGTGGTGGGTACACCGGGTGAGTGTGGTGGGTACACCGGGTGAGTGTGGTGGGTACACCGGGTGAGTGTGGTGGGTACACCAGGTGTGTGTGGTGGGTACACCGGGTGAGTGTGGTGGGTACACCGGGTGAGTGTGGTGGGTACACCGGGTGAGTGTGGTGGGTACACCAGGTGTGTGTGGTGGGTACACCGGGTGAGTGTGGTGGGTACACCGGGTGAGTGTGGTGGGTACACCGGTCTGTGAGAGTGTGGTGGGTACACCGGGTGAGTGTGGTAGGTACACCGGGTGAGTGTGGTGGGTACACCGGGTGAGTGTGGTGGGTACACCGGGTGAGTGTGGTGGGTACACCGGGTGAGTGTGGTGGGTACACCGGGTGAGTGTGGTGGGTACATCGGGTGAGTGTGGTGGGTACACCGGTGAGTGTGGTGGGTACACCGGGTGAGTGTGGTGGGTACACCGGGTGAGTGTGGTGGGTACACCGGGTGAGTGTGGTGGGTACACCGGGTGAGTGTGGTGGGTACACCGGGTGAGTGTGGTGGGTACACCGGGTGAGTGTGGTAGGTACACCGGGTGAGTGTGGGTGGGTACACCGGGTGAGTGTGGTGGGTACACGGGTGAGTGTGGTAGGTTACACCGGTGAGTGGTGGTGGGTACACCGGGTGAGTGTGGTGGGTACACCGGGTGAGTGTGGTAGGTACACCGGGTGAGTGTGGTGGGTACACCGGGTGAGTGTGGTGGGTACACCGGTGAGTGTGGTGGGTACACCGGGTGAGTGTGGTAGGTACACCGGGTGTGAGTGTGGTGGGTACACCGGGTGAGTGTGTGGTGGGTACACCGGGTGAGTTGTGGTAGGTCACACCGGGTGAGTGTGGTGGGTACACCGGGTGAGTGTGGTAGGTACACCGGGTGAGTGTGGTGGGTACACCGGGTGAGTGTGGTAGGTACACCGGGTGAGTGTGGTGGGTACACCGGGTGAGTGTGGTAGGTACACCGGGTGAGTGTGGTGGGTACACCTGGTGAGTGTGGTGGGTACACCGGGTGAGTGTGGTAGGTACACCGGTGTGGTGTGGTGGGTACACCGGGTGAGTGTGGTGGGTACACCGGGTGAGTGTGGTAGGTACACCGGGTGAGTGTGGTGGGTACACCGGGTGAGTGTGGTAGGTACACCGGGTGAGTGTGGTGGGTGAGTGTGGTAGGTACACCGGGTGAGTGTGGTGGGTACACCGGGTGAGTGTGGTAGGTACACCGGGTGAGTGTGGTGGGTACACCGGGTGAGTGTGGTGGGTACACCGGGTGAGTGTGGTAGGTACACCGGGTGAGTGTGGTGGGTACACCGGGTGAGTGTGGTGGGTACACCGGGTGAGTGTGGTGGGTACACCGGGTGAGTGTGGTGGGTACACCGGGTGAGTGTGGTGGGTACACCGGGTGAGTGTGGTGGGTACACCGGGTGAGTGTGGTAGGTACACCGGTGAGGTGGTGGACACGGTGAGTGTGGTGGGTACACCGGGTGAGTGGGTGGGTACACCTGGGTGAGTGTGTGGTGGTACACCGGGTGAGTGTGGTGGTACACCGGTGATGTGGAGGTACACCGGGTGATGTGGTGGGTACACCGGGTGAGTGTGGTGGGTACACCGGGTGAGTGTGGTGGGTACACCGGGAGTGTGGTCACCGGTGGGTGGTGGGTACACCGGGTGAGTGTGGTGGTACACCGGTGAGTGTGGTAGGTACACCGGGTGAGTGTGGTGGGTACACCGGGTGAGTGTGGTGGGTACACCGGGTGAGTGTGGTGGGTACACCGGGTGAGTGTGGTGGGTACACCGGGTGAGTGTGGTGGTACACCGGGTGAGTGTGAGTGGGTACACCGGGTGAGTGTGGTGGGTACACCGGGTGAGTGTGGTGGGTACACCGGGTGAGTGTGGTGGGTACACCGGGTGAGTGAGGAGGTCACCGGTGTGGGAGGGACACCGGGTGAGTGTGGTGGGTACACCGGTGAGTGTGGTGGGTACACCGGGTGCCGTGAGTGTGGTGGGTACACCGGGTGAGTGTGGTGGGTACACCGGTGTGAGTGTGGTGGGTACACCGGGTGAGTGTGGTGGGTAACCGGTGAGTGTGGGGTACACCGGGTAGAGTGTGGGGGTACACCGGGTGAGTGTGTGTGGGTACACCGGTGAGTGTGTGGGTACACCGGGTGAGTGTGGTGGGTACACGGTGAGTGTTGGTGGGTACACCGGGTAGTGTGGTGGGTACACCGGGTGAGTGTGGTGGTACACCAGGGTTGGTGTGGTGGGTACACCGGTGGAGTGTGGTGGTACACCGGGTTGAGTGTGGTGGGTAAACCGGGTGAGTGTGGGGGTACACCGGTGATGTGGGTGGGTTACACCGGGTGAGTGTGGTGGGTACACCGGGTGATGTGGTGGGTACACCGGGTGTAGTGTGGTGGGTTTACACCGGGTGAGTGTGGTGGGTACACCGGGTGAGTGTGGTGGGTACACCGGGTGAGTGTGGTGGGTACACCGGGTGAGTGTGGTGGGTACACCGGGTGAGTGTGGTGGGTCACCGTGTGAGTGTGGTGGGTACACCGGGTGAGTGTGGTGGGTACACCGGGTGAGTGTGGTGGGTACACCGGGTGAGTGTGGTGGGTACACCGGGTGAGTGTGGTGGGTACACCGGGTAGTGTGGTGGGTACACCGGTGTGAGTGTGGTGGGTCACCGGGTGAGTGTGGTGGGTACACCGGGTGAGTGTGGTGGGTACACCGGGTGAGTGTGGTGGGTACACCGGGTGAGTGTGGTGGGTACACCGGGTGAGTGTGGTGGGTACACCGGGTGAGTGTGGTGGGTACACCGGGTGAGTGTGGTGGGTACACCGGGTGAGTGTGGTGGGTACACCGGGTGAGTGTGGTGGGTACACGGGTGGTGTGGTAGGTACACCGGGTGAGTGTGGTGGGTACACCGGGTGAGTGTTGGTGGGTACACCGGAGTGAGGTGGTGGGTACACCGGGTGAGTGTGGTGGGTACACCGGTGTGGTGTGGTGGGTACACCGGGTGAGTGTGGTGGGTACATCGGGTGAGTTGTGGTGGTACACCGGGTGGAGTGTGGTGGGTACACCGGGTGAGTGGGTGGTACACCGGGTGAGTGTGGTGGTACACCGGGTGAGTGTGGTGGGTACATCGGGTGAGTGTGGTGGTACCCGGGTGAGTGTGGTGGGTACACGGGTGAGTTGTGGTGGGTACACCGGGTGAGTGTGGTGGGTACACGGGTTGAGTGTGGTGGGTACACCGGAGTGAGTGTGGTGGGTACACCGGGTGAGTGTGGAGGGTACATCGGGTGAGTGTGGTGGGTACACCGGGTGAGTGTGGTGGGTACACCGGGTGAGTGTGGTGGGTACACCGGGTGAGTGTGGTGGGTACACCGGGTGAGTGTGGTGGGTACACCGGGTGAGTGTGGTGGTACACCGGGTGGAGTGTGGTGGGTACACCGGGTGTGTGTGGTGGGTACACCGGGTGAGTGTGGTGGGTACACGGGTGAGTGTGGTGGGTACACCGGGTGAGTGTGGTGGGTACACCGGGTGAGTGTGGTGGGTACACCGGGTGAGTGTGGTGGGTACACCGGGTGAGTGTGGTGGGTACACGGGTGAGTGTGGTGGGTACACCGGGTGAGTGTGGTGGGTACACCGGGTGAGTGTGGTGGGTACACCGGGTGAGTGTGGTGGACAAGCCAGTTATTGAATGATCAATAACACACGACACCACGAATGGATCAATACACAAATAACCTGCACATATAAAAGTTTAGGACGACGTTTCGGTCAGACTTGGACCATTCGCAAGTGTGACTTTGTGATTGACCCCAGTCTGACCGAAACGTCGTCCTAAACTTTTCTCTCTCCTATGTGTATAAACGAGATATTTTTCTGTCCTTTGCCTTCTACATTTTTTCCATGTTCTTGGTATGTGTTAGTTTTCCCTCTCTGCTTCTTATGCTAGATTATGGCTTCTTACCATTGCCTCTTCTGTGTGTAGAGTTTTCAGTCTCCCGTCACTTGCTGACTACGTTATCCATTTCCTTCTATTTCACTTTCCCTTCCAGTTCCTCTTCTCACTGTGATTAGTCTCCTTTTCTTGTTTCTCTTGTTGCCTATCTGCTGTTCTTCTCTCTTTGTTTACTTCTACTCAGTATTTGAAACTCGGCCCATTATTATTGTTAGCATCCAGAGGCCTTTTATATTCTGTTTCACTGTGTTGGTTGCACTTAGGGTGAATACTAGATTCAGTCTCGCAGGTTCATCCCCTTGGAAAAGTGTTCCATCACCTTCACCTTCATGGCCCTCCATGTTAGGTTAGGTTAGGTAAGGTTTGTCAGGAAATAGGACAAGTGTTTCCTGACGTGGGTCTTAGTCATGTGACCCGCAGCTGGAGCTTTCGGTCATCTGACCGAGGCTTTCCACTGGCTTACCCCTAAACCCCTTTAAAAATTATGGCTATAATTACAACCATTAGAGATATCGTTGGTCGTAAATTAGTAAGTCAGTAAATTGTTTTTGGTTCTGTGGTTTGTTATTGCTGCCTCTGTTGTGTTCTCAGTAACTGCTTTGCTGATGTCTTTATATTCTTGTCTTGGTCTCCTACTGTTTGTTTGTTTGCTTGTGTGTGTGGGGGGGGGGTGTACGTCATGTGTTCAGTTTACAGAGAGTGTTGCATATATCACTGCCTCAAGGGATCTCTTAGTTAGTTTAATATCTTCATTATGCACCCCATCCCCATCCTGTGGGCGGTAGTCAAAAGGATTACAGGGGTACCTAATGTGTGTGTGTGGGTCCTTGTAAATTACCTATTTCCACTGTTTAATTATTTCATACTTGTAATTATCTAGTTGCTATGGGTGATTACTTGTTTGTGATGACGTGAGTAACCTTTCGTTCATGGTCTCCCGTCTTCTTATAGTAAATTTTAATAATCATTTTTCTTAGTCCTTGAAGCTCATTCCACTTAGCATCGTCTGTTTGTAAAGATATACTTTATTGTACGACTTAAAATTGGTATTATTGACACTCTCGGAGCTGTAGTGCTGTGGTGGAGGTGCTAGTGGTTTTGGTGTGGTGAGGGGTGTTGTGCTGTGGTGGAGGTGCTAGTGGTGTTGGTGATGGTGGAGCTGGTGGTGGTGGTGGTTTTAACAGGCTGTTTCTGCCACAGGCGCTGCTGGAGTTATACATGGTCTCTCTGCAACATGACGACATCCACGCCGCTACTTACGTCCAGACCACCTTCATCCACCCTCAGGTAAATCCACCTCACGCCTTGCCCACTCTTCTCCACCCTCGAATACCTCCTACCCCACCAACCTACTCACTCACCCACCCTCCCCGTCCACTTCGGCAGTCCACCAGGCCCTCTGCTACGTCCTCATTTCTAGTAAACTCACTGCATATCACTGCCTTGGACACAGGTCATCCCCTCCTGACGGTGTTCTTGGCGATAAGCTGTCACAACTTGCGAATCTTTCTTATCTCGGCCTTTAGGATATTAGATAAGCAATGTGTGGGAAAAGCTTCAATTGGGAGAGCATTACACTCAGGGTAGAGCTTCAGTAAGCATATTAAAGCTTCCAATTTCAGCGAAATGTATAGTCTGTCAGAGGTGCTGCCACTGAACACTGAGAGTTTGCACTCGTTGCTTCAGATCTGAGTGAAGCCTCTCTCAATTGCCTCAGGTCTGAGTGAAGCTCTCTCAGTTGCTTCAGGTCTGAGTGAAGCTCTCTCAGTTGCTTCAGGTCTGAGTGAAGCTCTCTCAATTGCCTCAGGTCTGAGTGAAGCTCTCTCAGTTGCCTCAGGTCTGAGTGAAGCTCTCTCAGTTGCCTCAGGTCTTAGTGAAGCTCTCTCAGTTGCCTCAGGTCTTAGTGAAGCTCTCTCAGTTGCCTCAGGTCTTAATGAAGCTCTCTCAGCTGCCTCAGGTCTTAGTGAAGCTCTCTCAGTTGCTTCAGGTCTGAATGAAGCTCTCTCAGCTGCCTCAGGTCTTAATGAAGCTCTCTCAGCTGCCTCAGGTCTTAGTGAAGCTCTCTCAGTTGCTTCAGGTCTGAATGAAGCTCTCTCATCTGCCTCAGGTCTTAATGAAGCTCTCTCAGCTGCCTCAGGTCTTAGTGAAGCTCTCTCAGCTGTGTCTGGCTTCTTTGTACGCTGCTTTCCTTAGCACTTGTTCCTTAAACTTCCCTGCCAAAAACTCCTGACGATTTCTCTGTTCTCCAGAGATCATCCTGTTTTCTGTAACCAGTGTGTGTATGTGTGTGTGTGTGTGTGTGTGTGTGTGTGTGTGTGTGTGTGTGTTTTCAGTTTTCTTATATAGTTTTTGTTTACTGCCAGGTGGAGAAGATCTTCACTATCAGTCAATACATCACCAACTTGGAGAGGGTTGGACCAGGCCTGGGAGAGTACATGTTTGACAAGCTGCCACAGAACTGAACACCTTCCACCAGTGCTGGAACGTCTTCCACCAGTGCTGGAAAATCTTCCACCAGTGATGGAAATTCTTCCACCAGTGCTGGAACGTGTTTTGTTAGTGCTGGAACATGTTCCACCACTGCTGGAACGTATTCACCACTTCTGGATGGTGTTCCACCACTGCTGGAACAATTTTCACCAGTACCGGGACCCAACCTGACCGGGATCCCTCCAATACTCACCAGCAACAAGACCCCTCCCCCTCTTCCCTCCAATACGATGAGAAGCGCTAAACCAGCATGGATCATTTAGCAGCAGAAGTACTGAAGGTTCGATCCTCCGTCCGATGAACTGCCACATTAATTCTGTGTATTTCCCAGCTGTTGTGGGAGATAATCTCCAGCTGTTCTGCAAATTATTTTGACAGCTCTCGTACCAAAATAAAATAAAATTATTAATCTATGGGGGCTAATTAGGTTTGATCTGAGGATGAGGAAGGGAGCTTCAATTCCTCGAATCAAGAGCCCTTAACTGTCATTAACACCAGGCACTGCTGACACACCTTGCCCACTCCTCTAATATTTCTAATTTTTTGTAAACACAAGCAGAGTAGAGGGCATGTTGGAGAACAAACCTTCTGTTGGGAGAGCTTTTGTTGTGTAGAGCTTTATTGAGTCGTGAGTTGATAAAGCTTTACACAGGGTGGAAGGTTGTCTCACCCTGTGCCCATCCTTGGCCACTATCAGAACCTTGGCACTTTGAAAGATCTCTTACATCCCGACACTTAAAACGTATCTTAGACTAGACAACACTGAGCAACAGACGAGTATTATATAGTGTATATAGCATTGTTATTGCTTGTTGTCTGCGCCACACTACACACACACACACACACACACACACACACACACACACACATGCACGCATATAGAACAGGCCTAGTGTCTAATCGACATGTGCCTAGGACAAAATGGTAACTAACACACACACACACACACACACACACACACACACACACACAGGTCACCAATATGCTGCTGCTCGACACATCACAAAAATAAAATCCTGACCTTATTATTACGAGAGAAATAATTGTAAATGAGCATTTGTTCTCTGTTTTGAAATAAACGATGCCTGGAGAAAAATACATTCTGAAATATAAAATTCTGACCATGAACGTCAGTTTTGACTTTGAATCGGTCAGTTTTAGCTAATAAAGAACATATATAGTGACCTTAATAGCAGATAATTATTTTGATCATGGCGGTCCCGAGTTATGTTTGTACCATAATCAATGATCTCCTGGATGTTATGTTAATTATGAGTGAATGTTGGTCCGCTGAATGTTTTCCAAGGTTTATAATGGTTTATATTCTTTAATAAAATTTAATGGGAGGATGTGATTTTTATTCTTCACTTTTTGGGTTTTAACTAAACTATATATATATTTAGAAATATATCAGTTAGGGTTTGTAAGTAACGTTTATATAAGTACGTTATATTTTATTCCATATTTGTCTCGTCCAGCGAACTGGCAATTCAGAGTGTAGCAGTTCTGGGGCCCCCACTGCTGTGCTTATTGTCCAGTCCAACCCCAGGTAGTCCTGTGGAAGCCGGTTACTTCAGCCAAGATGATGTTACCTCAGGTAACCTGGCTGGGTTGGCAGACTCCCCAGTCACTACTGTTTGAGTGGCTCTGAATTGTGCCCGACATTATGTGATTGGAGATAGAAAGCGTTCTTATCTGGCGCTCAGCAGACGAAGGATCAAGCCTCCACCACATCTTGCCCTGAATGACTCACATGGGTTTAACGCCACACATGAATTATAATAAACTGAATTGTGCCATCATTAACATTGTACACAGTGATATATTAGTGACGGGATATATAAAAGAGTTCAAGGAAGAACGAGCGAGTCTGCAGTAAGTGTGTGGGAATTCAGCAAGAAAGGAGAGAAAAACGAACGGGAATCACTGAACCTGCCATCAAGAAAGGAGTTATTTGTGCCACTTAAGAGGCACGTAAGAACCCCAGTCTTGTAACATCATGTTCATTTTTCCACTATAATCCACCTTGTCCATAATTATTATCGCATTTGGTTTGTCTGTTTCGTAAGGTGAAGTCCAGGATCTCTCCTTAATTCATGGTGTAACTTAACAAGTCTTTGAGGATAATAGTGTTGTCGAGGTGTGAGCCTCACTCAGACCTCGACAACACTATTTAAGTGTTCCAATACCACTAAAACAGTAATAGCCATTATTAGGCTACACTTTCAAAGACGATTCATTCATCTAGTCGACAGAAAATGTTGACAGTCTCAGGAGAGTATACCTGGAGAGTATACCTGGAGAGTATACCTGGAGAGTATACCAGGAGAGTATACCTGGAGAGTTATACCCGGAGAGTATACCTGGAGAGTATACCAGGAGAGTATACCTGGAGAGTATACCTGGAGAGTATACCAGGAGAGTATACCTGGAGAGTATATCTGGAGAGTATACCTGGAGAGTATATCTGGAGAGTATACCAGGAGAGTATACCTGGAGAGTATACCAGGAGAGTATACCTGGAGAGTATACCAGGAGAGTATACCTGGAGAGTATACCAGGAGAGTATACCTGGAGAGTATACCTGGAGAGTATACCAGGAGAGTATACCTGGAGAGTATATCTGGAGAGTATACCTGGAGAATATACCTGGAGAGTATATCTGGAGAGTATACCTGGAGAGTATACAGGAGAGTATTTCCTGGAGAGTATACCTGGAGAGTATTAAACCAGGAGAGTATACCTGGAGAGTATATCTGGAGAGTATACCTGGAGAGTATATCTGGAGAGTATACCAGGAGAGTATACCTGGAGAGTATACCAGGAGAGTATACCTGGAGAGTATACCAGGAGAGTTTTACCTGGAGAGTATACCGGAGAGTATACCTGGAGAGTATACCAGGAGAGTATACCAGGGAGTATACGAGAGTATACCTGGAGAGTATACCTGGAGAGTATATCTGGAGAATATACCTGGAGAGTATATCTGGAGAGTATACCTGGAGAGTATACTGGAGAGTATTTCCTGGAGAGTATACCTGGAGAGTATACCAGGAGAGTATACCTGGAGAGTATATCTGGAGAGTATACCAGGAGAGTATACCTGGAGAGTATATCTGGAGAGTATACCTGGAGAGTATATCTGGAGAGTATATCTGGAGAGTATACCTGGAGAGTATACCAGGAGAGTATACCTGGAGAGTATATACTGGAGAGTATACCTGGAGAGTATACCAGGAGAGTATACCTGGAGAGTATATCTGGAGAGTATACCTGGAGAGTATACCTGGAGAGTATACCAGGAGAGTATACCTGGAGAGTATATCTGGAGAGTATACCTGGAGAGTATTATATCTGGAGAGTATTCGGAGAGTATACCTGGAGAGTATACCTGGAGAGTATACCAGGAGGTGTTTACCTGGAGAGTATATCTGGAGAGTATACCTGGAGAGTATACCTGGAGAGTATATCTGGAGAGTATACCTGGAGAGTATACCTGGAGAGTATATCTGGAGAGTATATCTGGAGAGTATATCAGGAGAGTATACCTGGAGAGTATATCTGGAGAGTATATCTGGAGAGTATACCTGGAGAGTTATACCTGGAGAGTATATCTGGAGAGTATATCTGGAGAGTATTACCTGGAGAGTATACCTGGAGAGTATACCTGGAGAGTATATCTGGAGGTATTCAGGAGAGTATATCTGGAGAGTATACCTGGAGAGTATACCTGGAGAGTATACCTGGAAGAGTATATCTGGAGAGTATATCCCGGAGAGTATACCTGGAGAGTATATCTGGAGAGTATATCTGGAGAGTATACCTGGAGAGTATATCTGAGAGAGATAATATCTGGAGAGTATACTGGAGAGTATATCTGGAGAGTATACTGGAGAGTATACCTGGAGAGTATATTGGAGAGTATACCTGGAGAGTATACCTGGAGAGTATATCTGGGAGTATACCCGGAGAGTATACAGGAGAGTATACCTGGAGAGTATATCTGGAGAGTATACTGGAGAGTATATGGAGAGTATATCTGGGAGTATATCTGGAGAGTATACCTGGAGAGTATACTGGAGAGTATACCTGGAGAGTATATCTGGAGAGTATACTGGAGAGTATATCTGGAGAGTATACCTGGAGAGTATACCTGGAGAGTATACCTGGAGAGTATATCTGGAGAGTATATCCTGGAGAGTTACTATAAACCTGGAGAGTATATCTGGAGAGTATACCTGGAGAGTATACCTGGAGAGTATACCTGGAGAGTATATCTGGAGAGTATACCTGGAGAGTATATCTGGAGAGTATACCTGGAGAGTATACCTGGAGAGTATACCTGGAGAGTATATCTGGAGAGTATACCTGGAGAGTATATCTGGAGAGTATATCTGGAGAGTATATCTGGAGAGTATACCTGGAGAGTATATCTGGAGAGTATATCTGGAGAGTATACCTGGAGAGTATACCTGGAGAGTATATCTGGAGAGTATATCAGGAGAGTATACCTGGAGAGTATATCTGGAGAGTATACCTGGAGAGTATACCTGGAGAGTATACCTGGAGAGTATATCTGGAGAGTATATCAGGAGAGTATACCTGGAGAGTATATCTGGAGAGTCTACCTGGAGGTATACCTGGAGAGTATACGGGATATATCGGAGAGTATACCTGGAGAGTATATCTGGAGAGTATACTGGAGAGTATATCTGGAGAGTTATACCGAGAGTATACCTGGAGAGTATATCTGGAGAGTATACCCGGAGAGTATACCTGGAGAGTATATCTGGAGAGTATACTGGAGAGTATACTGGAGAGTATATCTGGAGAGTATACCTGGAGAGTATACTGGAGATTATACCTGGATGAGGTATACCTGGAGAGTATATCTGGAGAGTATACCTGGAGAGTATACTGGAGAGTATATCTGGAGAGTATACTGGAGAGTATACCTGGAGAGTATATCTGGAGAGTATACCTGGAGAGTATATCTGGAGAGTATATTCGGAGAGTATTAACCTGGAGAGTATACCTGGAGAGTATACCTGGAGAGTATATCTGGAGAGTATACCTGGAGAGTATACCTGGAGAGTATACCTGGAGAGTATACCTGGAGAGTATACCTGGAGAGTATATCTGGAGAGTATATTTGGAGAGTATACCTGGAGAGTATATCTGGAGAGTATACCTGGAGAGTATACCTGGAGAGTATACCTGGAGAGTATACCTGGACAGGGTTCCAGGGATCATCGCCCCCGTGGCCAGGTCTGTGACCAAGCCTCGCGGTGGATCAGGGATCATCGCCCCGTGGCAGGTCTGTGACAACCTCGACGTGGATCCAGGGATCATCGCCCCCGTGGCCAGGTCTGTGACCAAGCCTCGCGGTGGATCAGGGATCATCGCCCCCGTGGCCAGGTCTGTAACCAAGCCTCGCGGTGGATCAGGGATCATCGCCCCCGTGGCCAGGTCTGTGACCAAGCCTCGCGGTGGATCAGGGATCATCGCCCCCGTGGCCAGGTCTGTGACCAAGCCTCGCGGTGGATCAGGACCTAATCAATCGTATCTAATCTGTTATCAATACGATATTTTTGTCATATCTTGCAGCGTTTGCATGACGGTGTCTCTGAAAAGCTGGATGTTTGGACACAGAGATAAAGAGTTCTTCCTTGTATAGCTCCTGTCCCCGTCCACACAACTTAAATTTTACAACACTGGCATCTCTGTACAAACAGTGTTGCCAGACACTTATAGCCAAGCCTTTGTCTAGCAGTAACAAGATCTTAAAAATTATTATAAGTTATTCCTGAAGGGGTAGGGGGGTAGGCCAGCGGAAGGCCTCGGTCAATGACCAAAAGCTCCAGCTGCGGGTCATCACATGACTAAGACCCACGTCAGGAAATACTTGTCCTGTTTCCTGACGAATCTTACTTAACCTAACCTAAGAACCAGAAGCTAAGTTTAACGTCTTTATTATATACCACATACCCAGAAGATTACAGAGGCACATAATGGGTCCAGGAACTACCCGTGCCCCGTGCCCTGGTGGCTAAAGCTCTCGCTTCACACGGCAAGTGTCTGGTTCGATTCCCAGCGAGGGTAGAAACATTGGGCCTGTTTCTTTACACTGGTTTGTCTATGTTCACCCATCAGTAAAATGGGCACCTGGGTGTTAGTGGACTGGTGTGGGTCGCATCCTGGGTGTTAGTGGACTGGTGTGGGTCGCATCCTGGGTGTTAGTGGACTGGTGTGGGTCGCATCCTGGGTGTTAGTGGACTGGTGTGGGTCGCATCCTGGGACAAAACTGACCTAATTTGTCCGAAATGCTTTGCAAAACAAGCGGTTTT